ACGGCGGCGTTTTGGAGTCGTCTAATGCGGCGTCGTTTTCGTTGATTCCTACCACGTGGACTTTTTCGGTTGGTTCGAATTCTCCCTCGTCGGAGTTAGTGGCGGCGGAGAGGAGTGGTTCATGAGGGTCAGCCATTTCTCGAGGAGAGGGAGAAAGGTGGTTGGATGGATCGAGGAGGAGAGGGAGATAAGAAGAAATGGCGAATATATAGATGCGGGAAGAGAAAGTTAACTACCAGTTTTGCAGATTTTATTATTTTTATTTTTTTGGTGTGTGTGTTTAAATTAAGTTTTTTTTTTTTTTTTTTTTTTTTTTTTTTTTTTTTTTTTTTTTTAAAGTTTAAAGTATAAAACACTAAAACTGACCTTGTTTGAGGAAGGGGTCTATTTGACATTTTGACTATTTTACGTTACTAACCAAGTGTCCAAGTCTATTTGAAATTCTCAAGCTCATGGAAAATGGGGATGGTTGTCATAATGTGATCATCATATGTGGCATGCAAATTGCCATGTCACACACACCAAAAAAAAATAAAAAAAGACTTTAAAATAAGGATCTTGCTAACTAACGTCTCCAGCGCGTTAGATAAGTATTTAAAATACTACCTAAACTGGTATTAATTTGGAAATGCATGACAAAATCACGCGTCGATTGGTGTAATTAATGTTCATTTTAATTTAATAATTCTACTTTTAGTTATCTTATCTAACGCCCCGGGGCGTTCGTTAATTTTGCATTTAAATAATTGAATAACAAAAAGTGATTTGTTAATGTTCACTATTTTAATTTAATAATTCTACTTTTAGTTATCTTATCCAATTTCGAGGCGTTCGTTAGTTTTTGCATTTAAATAATTGAATAACAAAAAGTGATTTGTTACAGTGCAATCTATTTAAAAAAAACGATTTTCACTTATCTAAATTTAATTAAAATTAATTTTATTTGTAAAATGAAATTGAATAGTATTTTATCCGTATTTATCCAAATTTAATTGAAATATATTTTATATCCAAATGAATAATATCCAAATGTACAACTAGGTCCATTTTTTTAATACTATGTCTGATGATAATAATTAATACTCGTAATACACGATGATCATTAACGATAATGACATTATGGAGTATAATAGATGGTGTGAACTTGAAGATACCCGGCACCAATATTATAAATTTATAACATTTGTTTATACGTATGTACAAACTTTATTCCTTGATTAAGAACTGAAGTGGTGATACCTTTCGTTTGGACTTTGGAGTAATTGAAGGTGATGCGTGTTTATTTTAAACCGCTTACTTTTGGTTCATTCCATGGCATATTTCTTTTACTCCAATCACTAAAACCTGAAAAAGATGTGTTCTGACAAATTCTGAGAAATTAGGAATCATATTGGCTGCTGTTATTATTTTTTTCTTTGGTCTAATTTTGTGTAAGATGTGAGGAAAGATAAAAAGATTTGATTGAGTCCAAGAAAAGGAAAGTGTAAGGAAAGTGAGCGGAGAAGGAAGCCGCCAAGTGTGCAGGGCCACCACAAGTCCACAAGATGCTCCACGTCGTTGTCTTATCAATGGCTTGTGTGAAGCTCGCGCTTTCACCACTTACCTCCCACTTCTACACACATCTTGCTCATTCTTCGTTAGCCACTAGCTACGGTGGGAAAGAGCGTCATTTCCTCGTCTATAGAGTTACAAAATGCAATAATGTAAATTTCATCTAAACATAAATAAAAAGAAATTGATAATAAATTCATCATTTAATAGAATAGACAAAAGTTTTAATGTTAATTTTAAAAAACAAATAGGGAAGAACACTATTTGATCGAGCTAGAAATCTAGAATATAATAGCACTCAACATTTCTTGTATGGAGCTAGTGCCATAATTTGGTAGGGCAAGCTAAAACTACATGTCAATAGTCGTTATTGCGTTATCACCATCCAAACGTGAAGATAATAGCATGCAAATTGTGGTTTTGTCATAAACCATGTCCCCATAAAATAAATGTATTTGTCCTTTGTAGGTTGTTAGTTTGTAACCTGTTAAATGAGCCAAAGAAGGTAATTAAGCACAGAATTATCAAAATTAAAAAGATCTAATGAATAAGTGATTAAGAAATGACTACGGCCTTTCAAAAAGAAATGACTATGGCCTATGGTTGTACATTTTCATTTCACACGAGTTTGTTATAGAAACCACCACAAAGTTGATTGGACTTTCAAAATTCAAATGTTTTATCATCTATGCCCAGGCTGCTACGGGCCTAACTGCTTAAATTTTGTGGTAAGGGGCTAAGGGCTTTACAACACACTAGTTTTTGCCCCTTACAATATACGGCTTTATAATAACAAGACTTGTAAATAATAAAAGTCAATTAAAATAAAGTTTGTTTAAATAAAATGACTTATATAACATTTTATATATTTTTTTTTTTAATTTGAATTCATTTAATGTCGTCTACCCTTAGAACTCTCTTGTTAGATATATTATATAAAAAAAAACTATAAATTATTGTAAGCTTTTATTCATTAACTTTTTTTTTATGTTATTTTTCAAGGGAAAAAAAAAGAAAAAAAAAAAGTTTTTGATGGAAAATTTTATGTTGTGAATGCGACATGTGTACATTAGGGATAACTCTGGTGATTACTTTAGTATATAGTACTAGATTAGTGCCCGTACGATGCACAGTAGTAATAATCTTTTTTTCCATAATTAATTTGTGATATAATATAAAGATGAGGCAAGTCATGTGGAATAAACAAATGCAATGCATATAAGAAAAATGAAATAATAAGGCAAAAATGTTTAAAATTACAATTGAGAAAAAAAAAAATATTATTTTTGATTAGTTGTGTTGAAGATATTTAAAAGTAGTATACATTATATTATATTATATTAATAGTGCATGTTATTCTCAATAAAACTACACAATGTAGATGTCGTATGAATTTTTATTAATGAATTAATTTAGTTAAAAAAAATATTATACAATGTACTTCTAAAAAATAAGCTAAGTAGAATAATTTATTTAAAAAAAATAAAAAAAAAAAAAAAAAACTTAAAGCTGACATCATATATTGTATTGGCGAAATTTTTTTTTAATGATAGCTTGACATATGTCAAAAATGATCGATGTAAGCATGACCTTTTTTAGTAATAATTAATAGATTTTGAAAGGAAAAAAAAAAAGTGATAAGTTGGTAAAATTATTACAGAAAACTAAACGCAATTATTATTATTTCATAAGATTTCATGAATAAAAATGGTTTTTTTTTCCATTGAATTCCACTATTGTACAACTATATAATGGTAATTTAAATGTTAATATTGTATTTTTGGCTCCGTTATTTTATACTCTCCACCATATTTCAACCTTCTAAATTATTATAGTTTATTCTCCCTTAATTAAAAGGTTTAAAAGGAATCAAATTATTATAAAGATAATATATTATTATAGTTGTATTAGAAAAATATTCCAAAAATAAAAGATTTTTCCGTAGGGAGGGGCGAGTTTTGAAGGGAAAAAACAGTATCAAGAAGTGACACGTGTCATTCCTGATGTCCGTTTTGATATTATGTTATTGATGATAGATAGATTCGAAATTTTGAGGACTGGGCTGTTATTGTTTCTTTAGATTGGGCCTGGAGATCTATCGTATGGGCCATTACGCCATATTACTAAGGGCGTTGTTTTTGTCAAGTCAAGCACTTGTAAAAAAAGGTGAAAGGAAAGATTAGCATATAGTTTACGACCATTACTTCTTCAAGTTAACTATTGATTAATTTGAAGTATATGGTTACTAGATCTAAATGTACACAATACATACTTTTAACTTTAAAAAAAAACTAGTTTTATGCCCGTTGCGATGTCCGGGTTATTTATTAAATTGTAAGATAAACTTTTATCTATATGCTAAATTTTAAAACATACTATTAATATAAAATTTTCATCTATCCAAATATATCATACGTGTCAATCTAATGATTAGTTGTTACCTACGTGGCACGACACTTACGAAAAGTTGAAATGCCATATCTCGTGCCCTGGCTAATCGTAAATTATATTTATGTCAATTAATAAAATGTATCATAAATAGATTTATTTTGAATTACTTTTAACACAAATCACAAACTTTTATATGTGGCTGGTCATGTCGTGTGGCCAGCCACAATTTTTTTTTTTTTGAAAGAATGGTCGGGGTTACATGGTCATGGGTTACTTGATCAGTCAGGGGTTACTTGGTCAGTCAGGGGTTACTCGATCAGTCAGGGGTTACTCGGTCAGTTAGGGGTTACTTGGTCAGTCAGGGGTTACTCGGTCAGTTAGGGGTTACCTTGTCAAGGGTTACTCGTGTGTTAGTTGACCACACACAAAAGTTGCTGAACACAAATTTTATAATATATAAAAAATAAATTTATAAGATAATTATTGAGAGTTATAATCTAATATTTCTTGAATAAAATTCTAATGTAATTTGTACATATGAAATATTGGTATTTTATCGAAAATAATAAACTCTAAACCAATAATTTTATCTTAAAATTCTATCCAAATTTTATTGAAAATAAAACTCTAAACTAACTTTTTTATCCTACAAAATCTATATAAATCTATCCAACTTTTTTAAAAAATATATTCAAATAAATAAACATATCCTTATATGTCGCTTATGTGGCACGACACTTGGCGAAAAGTTAAAACGCCAAATGTCGTTGTCTCGTGGCATGATTAAAAATTTAGCTTTATATATTAGTTACCTGTTTTGTGCCCGAACGATGCCCGGATTGCTGATAAAAATTTAGGATAAACTTTTTGGCTCGAATGTTCATTAATACGGTTATGTGATCCCTTTTGATTATGCAGGATATCTAGACATACGATATTCTATCGTTTATAGAATAGTATACTTTTTGTAGTTTTGTTTGATTAATTCGAAGTATATGGTTACTAGAACTAAATGTACACAATACGTACTTTTAACTTTAAAAAAAAATGTATGACAATTATTTTGTAGGGATATACACAATTCTTTGAAAATAACGATAGGTTTTGATGTGTACACCTTGAAAATGAATTGAACACCAATCATATCGTCAATTATCATAAAAACTTATCAATCTTCTAATTTTTCCAATGAATCTTCGGCATACAGGACAATGCCTATTCTCTTCATAAAATATCCTGCAAATGTATATAAACGTACAATTAGACAAAAGAGCCGACCGCCATGGAAAAACTAGTTCAATCATTAAGGGGAAAAAATCTTTGAGACAAGTAAGCTAAAAATGAAGGAAAATTATGATGAGGAACTTGTAGTGTACATTACCTTTGAGCACACGCAAAACAAGTAGCACAATGACCACAAGGCACAAAGAAACAATTTCTCTGCGCGTCGTAGCAAATTATGCATATATTTGCATCATATAATGCGGAACATTTGCTAGAGTTGCTACTAATGTTATCATTGCTGCAACTTTGGGACTCCAGATTGTGCTCGTACGTTCCATAGCTTCTTGTTACTATCTTATTGTTGTCACACTGGGACATCAAAGGGTTACTTTCACCTTCTTCTGTATCTCTAGTCCATTCTCCAAGAAACTTAAGGACTGCAACAGTTACTATTACCAACAACGCTGCCAAAATTGCAATTAAATTATTAGATTTTTTTTTAAAAAAAAAAAAAAAAAAAAAAAAACTAATAGTGTATGAACCATCTTAATGATTTTTTTACTTTATTAAGAATCATGTTGTACAAAATGTTTCAATTAATTTACCTAAAACTGCAAAATATGCAACCAATCGGATCATGAAATAATAGACGAAGCAAGAAGCACAAGCCATAATCCTGCTCATCCAAAATAAAGAGTCATGGAAACTTTAACTAAAAATTAAAGAGGTAATTGAGGGGTACGTATGTACATGCATACAAAGTATAAAAATATTATATGTATAGTACATCATCGTATCATACTTCGTGTGTGTAAGAAAGTTCAATTCATAATTACGTAGTATACATTGTTATTTGGTTATCCTCTAATTAGAACCAATTAATATGAACTGTAATTTAATTATGATACAATTATTGTGCTAGGAAGAGAATTAGGGCATGTGTATATCACCTAAATACACTTAATATTGGCTAATGCACGTGTAGTACTTGTGCACTTGCCACCAAATATATTACATGTGTTAGGTACTTAGGTGTATAGTATGGGAAATGATTTTGGCACACTAAAATTGATTTTGGCACACCTCAATGTGGGAGCACAGTTTTCTATGCTCTTCTCACATAAGGGTGTGCCAAATTCAATTAAGGATGTGCCAAATTCAATTTCCGTATAGTATGCTGCTATTCATTTAAAACGTTACTCTGTAGTTTATGTGAAGAAGAAAGTAAATTCATTATACTTCACGTTTACCTTTTTCATACAACCTATGCTATACTCCCTACTCCGTCGTACTAAACAATAAAACAAACCACAAGATTTGTGTCTCAAAGTTATCTAAGTAGTTACGCCCCCTCCAGTATGACACGGTCAGACGAATATATATAATGCTTTGATATGATAACAAAATGGTACTAACAATTAATGAAGATGAGTTCCAACAACGAAAGAAGAAATTAAAAAAATGGGGTGAAAGATTTTTTAATTCTCCAAAGTCTTTTTTATTCAATTTAATTTCCTAACTGTTCAAATTAGAGTGTATATCATTGATCAATATATATAGCGTTTACGATAAGGATACAGAATATACACAAATTAAAATCTATCCTAATATGCAACAAATATTATCATAATCATAATACCTATCACTAAATTCTCTATTTTTTTTGGGCTGTGACTCTGTAAGTCTTGTGGTTTGTGAGAGAGTTGTTTAATTATGTACTTTGTAATGTTAATGTTTCAGATTACTGAGTATGTCTTTATGTAAAAAATCTTAACAACCTTCATTGTCTGTGAAAGGGTTGACTCGTGCCCTTAATTACATTTCTTCTTAATAGTGTATATTTAAGTTATTACGGCTGAAAAATTTATACAAAATAGTAATAATTTTCTAGATTGTTGCAATTAGTAAATGAGACATTATTATATTGTTTAAGCATTAGACTTTTATTTTGTCCGTCTCAATTTACTTGCTCCATAACCACTTCCACATGATTTTATGTAAATGAATAAGTTGAGAGAAAAAAAAAAAAAATGGGTACGATCATAAAGAAAATGGGACAAATTGTGTAGAAAATTCTGGTTGTTAATTAAAAATCTCGATTTATATGTGAAGCGAGCATATTGCCAAGAAGAGAGCTTACCTTAATAGAACAGTCCAACATAACTTCTTGTGTTTTGCCTCGTATTGATGTCACAGTCCAAGGATTGTCCTGGAAACATATGAAAGAGACAATTATAAATATTACAGTTAAATCATAAATATACATTTATATACTCCTTTATTATTTCTGTGATAAATGCCCTGATCGAGGTACTATTACAGAATTACCTATGTTATTTATTTCTTGCATTGTTGCATGGTATGCTACTCGTATAAGTCGTAAATTCTTTATTAATTAGATAAACACTCTCGACCTTATTAAAAGTAAATAACCAAAAATAATACGAGTAATAAGGCACTTATACTACTCCGTAACTAATTTGAGACAACTTAAAAGGAACAATATTACAAATTGACCACTCTATCCTCTTATCAACCCTTATCATCATAACACATTAAATTGGACTTATCTTAAAAAAAAAATAAAAAAAATAAATAGATAAAAAAAAAATGATGGAATAAGCTGAAAGAATAAGTTCAGATACGTTCATATAAGTTCAGTTAAGGATAAATAAGTTTAGATAAATTCTGTTCACCTTATTTTCACTTATTTCAGGTGTAATAAGTTCAGTTAAGGAAAAATAAGTTCTGATAAGGGTTACCCAATTATATATATATATATATATATATATATATATATATATATATATATATATATGTTGAATTGACTACCTTATATTTTGATGATTAACGTACTTAAAACAAACTCCGACTAATGATGTTTAAAGAGTCTTGGTTAAGCAGAAGATTCAGGTTTGAAGTAATATGTTCCGGAGTAGGAACAACAGAGTTTGGAAGACTTGATGATGAATGCAAGCTTTCAAGATGTCCTCACAACTCTATATACTTAGTTACTCAGTGTACGAACTTAAGAAACAAAAGTGTTGGAAGGAATTAAGAAGAAACTCGAAGTTCCTGAAGGAACCTGAAGTTCCTGAAGGAACTTGATGATTGACTCAGAAAGTTTTAAACGATGGTTTTCAAAAACAGTTTTCATATCCCTTAATTTAAGGAAGTGATAAAAATCAGTTTTGAAAAAGATTTAAAAAGATTTTATAAATAAATAAATAATTTAAAAAGATAAGTTTTAAATTAATTAATTATTTATCTTTTAATTAATAAATAAATAATTATCTTTTTATTAAATAATTATCTTTTTAAATCCTTAACTGATTTTTGACTTGGTAAATATTGACTGCTTAAATCAAGGAGCACGTTGAACTTGGGAGTCAAGCTAGGGAAATCATGTTCCTAAATTCCCTCTGCCTACATCCCAACTTCTCAGACAAAGAGAACGTGGGATTAAGGGGGAAGTGGGAACTTGATGGAAGCTTGGTTTAACTCCTTATAAAAATAGATCAACGTTAAGTTTTAAAAGCGTGGAAAAACAATTTCAAGTATTCTGAGCATAGAGTTTCAAAGTGTTTAAAAGAGAAGTTCCTTCCATCCTTAGTCTCTTGAGTTCTTTAGGAAATCCTTGTAATTACTGTGTAATTGGGATTGGGGTTGTGAGAGTTGTAAAGTGTGAGGCTTGAGAGAGTTCTTCATACTGTACAAGTGATTCGGAGTAGAATCACAAAGAGAGAGGAACTACGATTGAGGGATCGTAGTTTGGGAAACTTGAGTTCCTCACGGAACTTGAGTCTAGGCAGTGTATTAGTGAATGTAAATCATTTTTACATAGTGAATTTATTCATTGCCAATCTTGAGTGTCTAGAAGTTTTAATTCCGCAAAATTTTACATAGACTACAATTCACCCCCCCCCCTCTTGTAGGATACATTGTTCTATCAATATATATATATATATATATATATATATATATATATATATATATATATATATATATATATATATATATATATATATATATATATATATATATATATATATATATATGGCATTTTTCAGGATCATTTGGCGTGCCACATAAGCAAAATGAGATTAAAGATATATAAATGCACATAGAGTAAAAAAAAAAATCCTCTTTTTTTAACTTGCAAAAATAAAAATATTCGTTAATCAAGAACAAACTTTATCATATTCAATTATAAAAATTTATAACGACTTAATAATTTTATCATTTTTTCAATCCCTATATAACCATCTAATGATAATCCCACATACCCACATAAAAAAATACAATTTTATGAGATTATTATCCCAAGTGCCAACAACTTTTTTATAGACAAAGAAACTATGTATAAGAAGCCAGTCAATAACCAAAATTAATGAGAATACTTTGTATATAGAGAAGGGTATGGTCATCTATAGAATGTCGAACCAAATAGGGGCTCTAATGTGTCTATCGAATTCCGCCTTGATTTCCATGTATTCATTAAAGGTTGATAAGGCAGTGGAATTGTTTGAAAGCTTAGAGAATAAGACTAGGGTGTCTTGGAACGCCATGAATCATGATCATAGGTTTTGCACAAAAATGGGTAAATGATTATTGTATAGTTATTGATAAATTTGTGTAAATTTTAATGTTAATTTTTTTTAACGTTTTTAATTTGTTTCACAATTTTCAATCTAATAATTTTTGTATAAAAAAATTTGAACATGTTTTATGTTTATTGTTTTTAAATCTTTCTCATGCAGATAAAATTTAAATGTTAATTGCATGGTTTTTAATATATTTGTTTATATTAGTGTTAATTTTTGTATATAGTTAAACTTTAATCATAAATTACTATTTTTTTTTTTTTTGTTTTTGTTTTGTAGGTAAAATATTTTTTGAATGAAAGGAGAATTAGTACCCTCATATATAGTTCACACTCCTATCCCCAATATCTCAAAATGTGGCACTAAAAAAACCGAGGTACTGTTTTACATTAAAATCAATTGGAGTATCACCCAAAACAGAAAAATACACTACTCTTGATTATTCATACATCGCATTAAGTTGTATCACTAATAAAAACTCAGGTAACAAATCGGATAGAAACACACAAGTTTTATAACTTATAAAAAATAAAAAAATAACTAAATCCCGTGCATCGCATAGGCGGCTTCAATTACATATATATTTTAAAAATTATCTTTTCTGATAGTCATCAATAATTTTATTAAGATATATTATTTCTTACCTAATAAAATTATTTTTTTTTCCTCAAAAAAATAAATTAAAATTATTCTTTAGATAATATCAACCGATAAAGGCACATTATTACATTAAAATAATAAAAATTATCTTTTCTAATATAATAGACAATAGTATTTTAATTAAAATATTATATGATTTAACTAAGAAAATTATCTTTTCTTAGAGATTTATGTATAAAAAACTGTGTATCGCACGGGGTTACATCTAGTTATAACTAAAATAAGTTTTGATAAGATAAATTCAGGTAAGTAAAAATCAGAATAGAACACAAGAGGTTTAAGTTATGGTCATACATGCCTTGACAGAGGAAGAAGTTTGAAATTTTCCTTAAGAACAACTAGACAAAATAGGAAGAAGTTTGAAATTTTCCTTGAGAACAACTAGACAAAATTGCTAGCTCTACTGAGAGTTAAAAATTTTGTGTTGAAACGGAAAAAAATAAAAATCATTTTGTGAACCAATTTTAACATGGAAGATAAGCAGAGAAATATGTTTGAAAGTGATGTACACATGTACTCGTGTTAAAAACAATAAGTCAGTATCATCTAAGGAAATTGCTTCGACATCAAATTTTTTTTTAAGGAAATTGCTTTATTCTGTCATATAACTCATATTGCTAGATTTTTAAAGCCCAAAAAAAACAGAAATATAAGCATTTCTTTTAGTAGAATATAAGATTATTATTATTTTTTTTAAATAGTAGCTTATATTTCCATGCCTAATAAAAGGCTGGTGTTTCTCCTCTTCTTCTTCTTCTTTTTTTTTTCTTTTTCTTTTCTTTTATAAATCTTGCTTTAATTTTCAGTTCTTGTCTTCAACGTCAAGCGAACATCATTACGAAGGGGAATAAGTATATTTAGGGCCTATTAATCATACTCCATTACGATTACAATTTCCTTAAGCTTATAGACAGTCATAAGCTTAAAGAAAACAATTGGGTTTGGATACTCGCATTTCATTTGAAATCATTAATATGTTGCATATTAATAAAAAGAATTTTTTTTCCCTTGAAAAGTGTATTAAAATTGTGTTATTGAACTTGGGAAGTAGAACTTCCACCTATACTATCTTCAAACTTATTCTGAACTAAAGTATATTTTATCAACTAAACAATTTCAATTCGCATATAATTTTGCTAACTATTAATCTCTAGTGTCTACATATTTATATCGCCCAAACAAACACTTACATAACTGATGAAATAATCGATACCAACAAGTAGGTCATTATGTAAAGTCACATTATCAAATAACCACAAAAAGAAAAGAAGTTATAACAGATGAAAGTGGATTACTAGAAAGATTTGGAAAAATAAATACATACCTTTAACAATAGATGAAGAGAATCATCTCAAGATTGGCATCTTAAATTTAATCCATTTCTTATAATTTTCACAATAATAAAATTATAAAGATTAAAGAGAAGGAAAAAAAAAAAAAGAAGAAAGAGAGAGAAAGATGTAGAAGAAAGATAGTTGAAGTGGGTAAGACTGGTAGTTGATATATTTTCAACTAGGTTATCAAGGCATTATGGCGGACGGTTAAGAGAATTATTATTAGGAGAAGAAATTGATTTGATTTTGTAGGAATGGTAGGTTGCCTTTGCACATGGCTTCTTATAATTGGAGCCTCCTTATCGAGGGCAACCTTGGTCCCACCTTTTGCAATCGAACTCTTGTTTTTATACCGACACTACAAAACATTACTCGTATATGTTTGTGTAATACAATTATACACATACGAGTACTACAAGAATACAATCATTGTGGTAGCCTGGATCTGTACGATTTATTTCATCTACGTCGTAACGATAAATGTCAATCAGTCAGAGTGTTGGACTAGGTTAAGTCTTAAGTTTACCTAAGGTCATACGATATGACTAGCCATACAGAATACGTGCTATAAGTATTAACAAATTAATAATTTTTTTTTTTTCAAAAATACAAAGATAATGTGAATAAGACACCAATTACAAAGAAATTTATACAGTGTTTAGTGAGTATTCAGCTTTCAACTTCCCATGAGGCCATGAGTTGATTATGACCCATCAAAACAATGTACACTGGGTAGTGAATACAAGTCAAATATTCCAGCCCACTAACATCATAATTTCAATGGGCTTAAAGGGATCGTTTTATGGGCTCCAGTGGGGCATAGAAGGGCTAGATTGAGCCATAACTACATTGGAGTCCAACAACTTGACAATAGGCTTGACATTCACTCACCTAGGTACTTTATACTGGTCAACAGATGCTCCTCTTGATATTGCATAGTCCATCAACTTCACAAATGTATCGTTCTTCACTACTCGTATCTCAAGTGGTCCAATTGACCGGTCATCGGCGCGAATCTGTCGGTATACGGAGTTAAGGGCTTCCTCTATTGCTAGAGCGCACTGACCCAACACCTCATGATCTACCCCAGTAGAGGTGTCATTAGTTAAAAGCTCCCAATAAATTACGTAATGTCCCGGTATAGTTTTGGTGTCTGCATAGCTTGTGTAGTCAACAACTCTTGTATTGAAGGGTTTAAGCAAAGTTGATGCACGCTCAACCGCATTTTGCAACTCGAATTCATCTGTCTTATCCATGTCGATACTGAGTAGAACATTCTTCCTCCTAATAAACCTTAGTTGTGGAGTTATTATTAGGGGTAATTCCCTGTTCCTCACTGTGAAGAACAAGTTTTGTTCCTCATGGGGTATGTGTCAAGCTCACAGAGTTCCACTCATTACACGTAGGCGGTCCCCACTAGTGAAAAACATCACATTATTTTCCAAAGTGCCATTATGAGGAACTGGGGCTCCCTCCATTATTAGATTAATGTCCAACAGTATCAATACCAATAAATACCTATACAATCCTGCTTGTGTGGTGACTACAATCTCATACTCCTTCCCGACCTCCACGTCAGCCAAGTCCACGATCTGACGAGCCGCGTTATCATCAAGTGGGATAAACTCAAAAAATGATGTGTTAGGCAATATAGTGTAGGAGACTTCCGAGGGGGCACACATTGGGTTCAAGTTAGGTCCAAAGAAACACTCTGATGAAATGTACCTATTACTTACCTTATGAAGGCCTCCACTATAGTAATCCAATGTAGGTATATATTGGGCCATTGAACCCGTCACAATCACGTCTAAGTACTTTGTATTTGGCCAAATCTTTTTTATTATCCCTTCCCAATTCTCATTCTTACAGGCATGGATAATGAATTCCGCAAGCTCCGGGTCAGGCCTCATGATTTTACCCATGCAAGCCCGTATGTCCAAGTTAGTGATTATCGAGCTTAGGGTTCCAGTGGCGATGTCGTGACAAAGGTCAATGAAGTGGACTTGGAGGAAGCGGATGGCCCGGAGGAGGCCGGACGCAAAGGCGGCTCCTACACGGAACACCTCGTGGCGATTGTATAGCCCACATAACATTTGTGTGTACATAGACTGGAAAGAGTCGAGGCAAACTATCGCCTCATGAGGGCTAGTATTAATGTTATAAGGATCATAAAGTTGCTTCTTTAGGTAGTTGTTTTTGTAGTAGCTTGTGAGAACTGATTGAACCACTAGACCTCCTGGAGTTTTTGTTTCCGGCCTAATGAATTTGAAGTAAAGGACTTTTCCTTTGTCAAGGTCTGACATAAATCTGTTAATACAAATTCAACCAAATAAATTACTATATATACTCAAAATTTTATTATACTCGAAGTTTAGAAAGCAAGTAGGCACCATAAAGTCTTGATTACAAATAACTAGAGTTATACAATTGTTGATAATCACGGCTAACATCTTGAGAAGAGCTAAATTCGTAATTATTACCATATTCAAAGTGCACAGGATCAATAAAATCTGAATGTGGGGGCTCTTCATATTCAATTTCGTTCAAAGTCAGACTCAAGAACTTCAATATATTATTCCCTTCAACATTATTTGTTATCTGATTATTGAGCATTGAAATACGAGATAAGATTATCTATATTAACATCAGAGGAGCAAGAATGGCTTACAAGATCAAGCAATCGAGTAGCAAATTGTTCTCCGAACATATTCACTGAACTAAAAAAAATATATCACATAAATATATGTAAGTTTGATTTATTATACACATTAAACTAAAAATTTATTCAAATTAGCCGACATTAACAGAGAGTTTACAACAATTAACAGACATGAAAAAGATGAACAATACCTTAAAATCCCTTATCGTCGTATAAATTTGCGGTAGTGTTGATAAAACAATACTACTTGAAATATAATTCCAAATTATGTGATTGATAAGATCTAGACAATTTTTTTTTGATCGAAATTAGGGTTTCTGCATCTGTTTACATACTCCGTATATTTGTATATGGCTTAAATTTTCCAACTTAAAAAAAATCCTAAAAAAAAATTAAAATAAGACCAATAAAACAAAATTTGAAAAAAAATCAATAAAGTGAACCAAACCAGTTCAAAGGAAAATAAGAAATAGATAATTTCCTTCCAAGTCAATAATTTAGCTAGTTTTAATTTGGAATTAAAATTTATAATTAGCCGTTTTGGTATATACTTTTGTCAAATTAGCCGTTTTGATAAAAAAATCCAAGTTTACACACCTAATGAAGTTGTGTGTGTATGTGGATTAACTATACTCGAAGCTTTACACACCAAAAGTAGCTATTGTTTGTGTGTGTGTGTGTTTTTTTTTTCTCTAAGCTAGCGCTTGTATAAAAGATACCAACTTACTGGTTCATAATAGGCATGAACATGCTGGAATACAATAACCGACGTTCCATCTCCTCAGAAGTCATTGGTATTAGTTTTTTCTCTCCTGCTGAAGTACCCGAGCTACAGGAATAACCAAGAATTTATTATAAATTAGTAAAAAAATTAAGCCAAAGATATAATATTAATAGTGTAAAAATCCAAGCCATGCATTTCTTTTTTTTTTTTTTTTTTTGAGGAAATCCAAGCCATGCATTTAATAAACGGAAAGAGTAAGAAAAAAATTGAGTGAAAATTATAAACAATATGGGGTGAGAAGGAAAGTATTGTAAAATGTGTGCCAAAAATAAATAAATTAAAGAAGATAGTGTACTTGTAATAAACTTTGACTTTAATGACTATTTTACTCTGTAAAATAAATGTTTAAAAGTATACTTCATTCGATTTTTATTGTTTTTTTTTTTTTTTTGTTTTTTTTATTGCACCATTTGATATGAGCATATAATTCAAGAAAAAGAGTAAAAAACGTAAAACAAAAATTAACAAATTCAAGCATTAAAAACTGTAAAAGTTACTCCGTACAACATACGTATGTAGTTATGTGTAGTACTCCTTATGTAGACACATGTCACAAATAGTAAATAGAAAACAATTCTAAGAGAATTACCTAGTGAAAAATTCAGTGATTGGTTGGGCACAAAGAATAGGGGAGAAATCCCCATTAGCAATATGTTGGATATCAGATTGAATATCTTCATATGTCACCACTGGAACCTTATTCTTAAATGTCTCAACATCAACACACCCCTTCATCCCATGTCGTTTCAAGTACTCGGTGTTGGCGTTTTGGCTCAAAATATGAGCCAAAACCTTCCTTTGCTCCTCCTCACACTTGCTCGTCACCTCCTCGATGAATTCCAACACCGCCGTGTCTTTTTCTATCCTCGCTGCCATTGTCTATAATATCGTTGTAAGAATATAATGTTGTAAGTGTGTGGTGGTAGTGGTAGTGGTAGCTTAGTTACTTGGAAGCTCTTGTTGTTGTTTGGGTTGTGAGTGGGAGATCAGAAACAGAAGTTTATATAGCCAGCTAGGCCGCGAAAAATAAGCTAGCTAGGCAAAACAATGTCATGATACACGTTGAAAGTTACGTAAGAGTCAATAAGGACATAAGGCTAACATTCATGAGTATCATGACCAATCATATATAATAATTAGTGGATAGCCTAACTATGCTTAATTAATTTATATTTTTTTCAGTAAAACTCCATTCACTTTTTATAATGAAAAATCGACTAATGTTTGAGTGTTCTCTCACGTCAAGGCAGCACATCAATTGATATAAAGTTTTTCTAGGATCACATGTAAATTAAACTACTTAATTTTTTTTACCATGCCTTTCTCATTGATGGTTACAACAGTACTCTAGGTTAAACTAGCTAGGAAGATATACATAAAATAATATATAAAAAATATTATTTACATAATTAGATTATTTGCATAATCTATCAACAAGAACCCTAAATTTAATAGAAGGGATTATTGTAAAGAAGAAGGCAAAATACAGAGTGTTAGATTGAAGGAAAGTAAAGTAGCTAAAAGAACGTATGTTATAAATATATATATTCAGTGGTGCGTCTTGTGTGCAGCTGGTCACACCTTGTAAAAGAACAAAGTAACCCCTACAACACTGACCCGGTAATACTTGTAATATTGACCAAGTAATTAACCCCTATAAAACTGAACGAGTAACCCCTATAACACTGACCCGGTAACACCTGTAATACTGACCAAGTAACCCCCATAAAACTGAACGAATAACCCTTATAACACTAACGAAGTAACCGTCATTATGGATGGCCACACCGTGTGGCCAGCTACATTTAAGACTTTGTGATTTATATTTCATTAATATATATTTTTCTCTTTTAACTTCTTATACATAGTCTTAGGGTTATGTATAGCATTTTATTATTTAATTCCTTTTTACTTTGTTAAATTTTTTTTAAAAAAAATTACAAAGTCACCCCATTTAATGGTCTGAACTAGTCAACATTAATGAACGGTTGGAATTTGATCTACAAAAGCAGCAACAATTTTTGTATAGCCATTTTAAAACTATCCTAATTTAACAATGCATGTATGATTAATAATTGTTTATTCACTTAGGAAGCAACTTGTTTAGTATTTTTTTAGAAAGTTTATGCATTAATAACCTTTATCTTTTTAATATGGCTGCAAATTAAATATTTTAGTTTATGTAAAATATTAAATATATGGTAAGTTACGGAGTATTGTTGAATTAACATAATTCATTATAAAATTTAGTAAAAAATTTTACATGGAACGAAACTTAAGTTAGTAAGAACTTGTGCCTTTTTTTTTTTTTAGGGAACTTAAGCTTGCGCTTAACCAAACAAACATTTTTATTCCTTGGAATGCAAGCGCCACAACCCATCTAGGATGCATGAAAACCGATATGAACACTGACATGGGTGCGAAATGGACACGGAAAAACGGCAATTCTAAAATAGGGGACACGGGTACGGCGAATAACAAGGCATATAATATATAAAAAAACGAGAATATGACAACCTATTCAATAAAACACTAAATATTTAACCTGAAAACAAGCAATTTTGTTTAAAACAAGTAAATAAACAAAGTGTTACAAGCAATTTTGTTCGCACTTTGCAGACGATTGTTTCACGGTTTCTCTATTTCAGACAAGCGAGCGACGATGAGCCACGGTGAGGCGGTGAGCGACGGTGGCTGGGTTGCCTGTACTTAGGGTTTCAAATTTCAAAGTGACTTGTGAGAGAGGATGAGAAGCTGAGAGGAGAGCAGCAGGAAGTGTAATAAACACTCGTGTCCATAACAAAACGGGTCGTGTCTTGGGTGATACGGTCCATGTCCAAGCATAAAAAATTAATAAAAAAACCGGACACGGTTTTTCGCGTGTCGGACACGTATCGCCCCGTGTCCCACGCGTGTCCGTGTTCGACATACATGTCGACTCAACTCGGACACACCTGCCAAGTGGCGTGTCCGTGCTTCCTAACAACCCACGGGCCACAGCACTTGACGAGTTTTCCATAAACAAGAAAGAGATTTCTTGCGTGAAAGTTGTGAAATGCTTAACACTGTGTAATGTGGTGGTTGTTCAGTTTGATTTGCAAGTAACACAAGGATATGATGACTACTCCATATTAATCTTTCCCCGATCAATACTCAACTAGGATTTGCTTGTCTTTATCTTTTAATGCATATTAATTGCTTGTCTCCTCAACTAAACAATAATTCTAAATAAACTAATTTTATTTTATCTCCAAGTCTCCAATAATGAATAAATTGATACTAACATGGACTATACAGTATACATAAGCTAATAAAATCTACAAAGATATCCTAGCTTAAATATAATTCTATTCTAATAAAAACACTATCTTAATAAATGTAACAACCTAAAAGATAAAACTAATAACAACTAATGAAAACAAATATCCAAGGACTGCATAGGTGAGAATTTGGCAAATAATTCTCCCAAATAGCATTACTTTTTTATAATTTAGAATTTGGGAGAATTTGAAAACAATAATGCTATTTGGGAGAAATTGTCAAATATTTTGTTACCATTAAAAATAAGCAAAAATACATGACAATCATAGAAAATAGACATGACATTATACATAGTACTCCGTACTTCACACAAATTAGATTAGGTTTAGAAAATATACGATACTCCCAAAATAAACATGAAAGGGGCTCCAAAAGTAAGACCAATTCAGAAAATTGTAGCCCAAACATATGAAGTATCAAATAATACGTTAGACTTTTTGGGGTCATTTCTAGAAACATATGAAGGGCTGAATTGGGACATAGCTACATTAGAGTTCAGTAACTCTATAATAGGCATGACATTAAAATTCAAAGCAATTCAAGGCTAATCGAACAAGGTAAGGTGAAAACCCTTTGTTAATTGGCTGAATTTATTACTTTTCTATTTGTCTCATTTCACCAATTTCGCATAACCAAATTAGCAATTTTGGAAAAACAAAGGAACTTTGAAATATTTTGAAAGAGACAAAAGAGAGAGAGAGACAAACAAACCCTTACCTAATGAAGAAAGTGTCGTTAATCCAGTACCATAAATCAATGTGCCATTAATGTCCTCTAAAGTTAATAAATCGCCATTAATGGGTTGCTTCTAGTCGATCACATCAACAAACAGAGGATAGGTGAAGGGAAATAAGGGAGGGAAAAGAAATTAACTGGAATAGGGGGAAACGGGGAAAAAAGAAAAAGAAAATAAAAATGGAACTTTAAGTGGTCACGTGCGTTGCACGTGACTTTAATTGGCCAGAAAAAAGTCAACGCCGAAAAACGGTTAAAAGATCCTCGCCACAACTCAAACGCGATAAAAAAACCTTTTGCGCCACCTTTTTTTTTATAAAAGGACCTTTCAGACAAAAAGGTCTACATAAAAGGACCAATCTGACAAATTTACCTAAAAAGAAAGTATTACAAACATAGAAATATTTTGATTAAATGTATTACGGATAATGGTGTACTATATTTGGCGCGGTTATGCACTTATGCTTAAATTATACGGATTTTTCACCAAATACCACTGAGTTTTTCAAAAATTCACCATATACCACACAAAATTTTCTAATTCACCATATACCATTGAGTTACTGTGCGTTAACACAGAATGCCATTTTTGGTAACTGCCGTTAGTAATTAGGGTTAATTATGCCACGTGGCTGTCACTTATTGGCTCTTATTAATATTATCTAATTAATTAGTTAAATAAAGAATTAAAACAAAACAACCACCACCTCCTCACTCCACCAACCCCGACACCCCCTTCCCCCACCAACCCAGCTCCCCTTCCCCGTCGGCGGCCTTGCCCAGCCTCCTCCCTCGCCGGCCCTCCGGAGCTCCCCCTACCCCTACCATCTCCCCTTCCTGTCCTCCTCCTAAACCACCATCCTCTAAATGCACTTCTCTCAACCCATCTTCCCAAAAATCAATCTGCATCTCCCGCCAACCGGAATCCGACCAAAACCCCTCGCCGGCGCTCCTCCCCTTCCCCTGAACCGTCGTGCCCGCATCTCCCACGAAAACCCTCATCTCTGTTCGTTTCTCTCTTCAACTTGAAAAAATTGTGGTATTTGAAGATTGTTGTAATTCCTTGGTATAAGTTGAGATAAGATAGGTCTAATACTCTGAATTTTGTATTTGTATTTGGAATAGGAATGGATCCCTTTCATCTCTTATCTTTCATCATCGACTTTCGTAAAGGTATTCTCCGATTACCTTTCATCTCGATTTTGGGTTTTGGGTTGGTTGTTTGCAACTAAATTGGGCGGCGGCGACGTGAGGGAGGGGGATCTGGGTCGCCGGCGTTGAATTTCGGCATGGTGGGTTTCGGCTTAGGTGGAAGGGTTGCAGGGGGAGACGTTTTGGGCAGATATGAGGGAGAATTTGGGTTGGGTATGGTGGTTCAAGGGAGGGATGGGGGCACCGGCGAGAGGCTGGGTGTGGGGCGGCGCCGGCGCGGTGGTGGTTCAAGGCTGGGAGCGGGTGGCGGGGGGCTGAGCTGGGTGCAGGTTGGGGGCGAGGAGATGGCTGGGAGTTGGTGGTGGTTTTAATTTTTTTCAATTATTTTTGTAAAAGTTTTTCAATTAATTATTTAGTTTTTCAATTATTTTTTTTATATTTATTTTTTGATAATTGATTAGATAATTATTTTAAAGTTAAATAATTTAAAAGGCAACCAATTACAAGCTGCCACGTGGCACAATTAACATTAATGTCTAACTGAGTTAACGGAAATGACATGTTGTGACATTTATGTTAAACTCAGTGGTATATGGTGAATTAGAAAATTTTGTGTGGTATATGGTGAATTTTTGAAAAACTCAGTGGTATTTGGTGAAAAATCCGTAAATTATAATTGTAATCTCCATAGCTATGCCTCACAAAAAAATAAGTATAACTTTTTCTACATAATACCTTTGTTAATACTGAAATATTAAAACAAAGAAACTTTAATTTCATAATCATACAAAGCAAACACAAAGATTTCTATTGTGTTTATTAATAAGAAAAAAAAAAAAAAAGATGACCCAATAAACAAATACGATGTACACAGTACACCGGTACAAGTGAAACAACGTTGAGCTATCAACATTAGCCCATTCACTAAAACTCACATTTAAATGGATCCTAATTATGGGCTCCAATGTGGCATAGAAGGGCTAAATTGGGCCATAACTACATTAGAGTCCAGCAACTCCACAATAGGCATGACATTCACACACCTAGGCACTTTGTACTGGTTGATAGATGCTCCTCTTGATATTGCATAGTCCATCAGCTTCTCAAATGTTCCATTCTTCACTACTCGAATCTCAAGCGGACCAACTGATCGGTCGGCAACCCGACACTGTCGATATACCGAGTTAAGGGCCTCCTCAATGGCTAAACAGCATGGGCCCAATGCCTCATGATCTAGCCGAGTTGTGGTGTCATTAGTTAAAAGCTCCCAATAAATGACGTAATGTCCCGGTATAGTTTTGGTTTCTGCATAGCTTGTGTACTCAACAACTCTTGTGTTAAAAGGTTTGAGCAAAGCTGATGCACTCTCTATCGCATTTTGCAACTCTGACTCATCCGTCTTATCCGAGTCAATACTTAATTGCACGTTTTTCCTCCTTATGAAGTTGAATTGTGGGGTCGAATTATAGAACCCTGTCACTTGTAGCACATCCCCAACTTTGTACCTACACAACTTGAAGTAATTAGTAGATAAATAACTCAAAAAGCTTTCTGTTTACATTATTATCTAGAAGTACTAAAATCAATTACCTGTACAATCCTGAATGGGTGGTGACTACAACCTCATACTCATTTCCGACCTCTACATCAGCCAAGTTTACCAGCTGAGGGGTCAAGCTGTCCTCGAGTGTGATGAACTCGAAATATGCCATATTAGGCATTATAGTGTATGAAACCTCCGAGGGGGCACACGTTGGGTTCAAGTTGAGTCCAAAGTAACACTCCGAGGAAGCGTACATAATACATACCTTAGGTAACTCACCACTATAATAGTCCAATGTAGGTATATACTGGGCCATGGTACCAGTCACAATCACTTCTAAGTATTTTGTATTGGGCCAAATCCTTGTGATTATCCCTTCCCAATTCTTACCTTCACAAGTATGGATAAGAAACTCCGCAAGCTCCGGGTCAGGCCTCATGATCTTACTCATACAGGATCGTAGGTCCGAGTCAGTGATAGTTGAGCTAAGAGTGCCAGTTTTGATATCGTGGCAAAGGTCGTGGAAGTGGACTTGGAGGAAGTTGATGGCCCGGAGGAGGCCAGAAGCAAAGACGGCTCCTATACGGAGGACCTCGTGACGGTCATAAAGGCCACATAACATTTGGGTGTACATGGACTGGAAAGAGTCAAGGCAAAGTACCGCCTCGTGTGGGCTAGTGTTAACGTTGTAAGGATCATAAGGTCGGTTTCTAAAGTAGCTACTTTTGAAGTAGCTTGTGAGAAGTGGATGAGCCACAAGACCTCCCGGAGTTTTTGTTTCTGCTTTGATGAATTGGAAGTACATACCTTTTCCTTTGTCTAGGCCTGGCATATACCTGTTGATACAAATTAAAGTTAACCAAGTAATTAAATAGCTAGCTAGTTGCTAGTATTTCAACTTTGTCACATTGCTAACGGCTACATGAAACCCTATCGTCGACCAATTAAGAATATCAACTTACTGGTTCATCACGGGTGTGCAAAAGCTGGGAAACAGCAACCTTCGTTCTATCTCTTCAGAAGTCATTGGTATTAGTTTTCTCTCTCCTGCTGAAGTTCCCGAGCTGCAATGATAACCTTATAATTTAATCGCTTTCACTTTTGCGTGGGAGTAATTTTAGCTTCATTAACTTCGATTTTAGGCCGGTGTGGGTGGTTTTGGGTTGGGTGGATGGTTTTTAGGGCGAAAAAGGTGATGTGGTGGCGGTGGGGAGGTGGTTAATGCTGGAATAGTGGTCAAATGATAAATTCCGTTTAAAGGTGGTTGTTGACAATTTTTTTTTAAGAAAATAAAATAGGTCGGTTTCAACAAAAAAAAATATATACGGAGTATATATAAAGCGTTTTGTGACAAAATAAGTTTTGGTTTCCTCTATTTGGAATATCTAAACCCCTTTAATTCGATATGAAAATTCGAGTGTTCAAAAAATTCAATCCAATTTCATTCAAATTACTAATTTAATTCGGACAGATTTACCAATATTGGGTTGGACTGAGTTTCGATTTTTATGCAAATAGCTAGTGGCCACATACATATGTGCCTATGTGGATACAGTAATAGATACCAATTCAAAGAGAGAATAACCTAGTAAGAAATTCAGTGATTGGTTGGGCGCAAAGAATAGGGGAGAAATCCCCATTAGCAATACGTTGAATATCAGGCTGAATATCTTCATATGTCACCACTGGAACCTTATTCTTAAATGTCTCAACATCAACACACCCCTTCATCCCATGTCGTTTCAAGTACTCGGTGTCGGCGTTTTGGCTCAAAATATGAGCCAAAACCTTCCTTTGCTCCTCCTCACACTTGCTCGTCACCTCCTCAATGAATTCCAACGCAGCCACATCTTTGTCTCTCCTCGCCATCGTCGATCGTTGTAAAAATGTTGTAAGTTTGAGATAGTAGCTTAATTTAGAAGCTCTTGTTGTTGTTTTGGTTGAAAATGGGAGATTGGAAAGAAGATTATATAATGTATATAAGTAATATGACCAGGGCAAAATAAGCTGACAAAAGAAGGTCGTGGTACACGATTGAAGTTTCGAGTAGATAATAATAATATAATGTATAAACCATGCATTTTTTATTAATGATTGTTAATTCACCTTATGCATTGAGTGTGCTACTACATTATTAGGAAGTCGTTTTCTCATTTTTTTTTTTATTTTTTTTTTGGTGCTCAGTCGTTTTCTTATTGTGATGTGCAGATTGGCATCTTTTTATTTGATTTTTTCAAATCGACGTCAGCACACTTATGCATAAACAAATGCATACCACTAATAATAAGTTGCCAATGTTGTAAAAAAAGAAAAAAACAGTTGCCATGTGATATACATGATCACCACCCTTACTTTCCAGACCATCTCAACTTTTCGAGTCATTAATTCATTTTATGTTTCATCAATTTCCAAAATGTGTCAAAGTACAACGATTAATCATTTTTATCCGTTTATAATTGTAAAAGGAATACTTGTATTTACCACCCATAAATAACCCACTTTTTGAAATTACCACCAATATTTTTTTTTTTTTTTAAATTACCACCCATAAAAGACAAAAAAATTATATTTTTCCACTTTCCGTTAAAAAATCCGTTAAGTTTAAAGTTTTTAAAATAAGTCTTTTATTTTCGAGCCAAAACATGCTCATTAGATATTTTGGAGGTCATTTTTGTCCTTTAGGTCCGATTTGAAGTCAAAATTTACAAAAAAATGATTTAAAATGCCTCATTTTGCGTACTAAAATATACATCGGTTTGCGTGACACACATAGAATGAGGCATTTTCTTTAATTATATGTCATTTTGATCTCAAATCGGATCCTTTGGCCAAAAATGACCCCAAAAACTCTAAAGAGCATGTTTTTAACACAAAATCGAAGAATTTTTTTTAAAACGTTAGATTTAACGGTTTTGGTGGTAAAATGCTAAAATCTAACTTTTTATATCTTTTATGGGTGGTAATTTAAACAAAAAAAATTTTGGGTGGTAATTTCAAAAAGTGGGTTATTTGTGGGTAGTAAAATACAAAATTTCCATTGTAAAATGATGTTATATAATAATGTACTTAGTACTAAACTACTATGTTTAAATAAAGTATTTATTCTTTGCAATTCTTAATACTACCTCTGTTTTTTTTAAATGCATCAGTTTGACCGGCACATTTGCCGAGACATAAATTTGACCATTAATATCTTTAATTTTCTATTAGTAAAAATTGTAACAAAATTATATTATGAAACTAGACATTATGACTAATCAAATGATATATTATATAATAACATTTATTTATTTTATAGAGGTGAAAAAAATAAGTCAACCATGGTATGTGAATAGTGCAAAAGTCAAAGTGATGCATTTAAAAAAACTGAGGGAGTACTTGTACGGGCTCTCTCTCTCTAGTCTTTAATCAACTACGGAGTAAAAACTACTCGTAGTTTTGGACTTGGGCATGCTTTCATGTCATGATCGGTCAAAACATTTTTGTTTTTTGTTTTTAAATAAAACTTCCTCTGTTTTTTGTACTTGACCTGTTTTTTTTATCACGATTGTTAATGCAAAACTTTAATGATCAATAACTTAAATTCTCTATAGGTAAAAATTATAAAATTAAAGTTATATATTATGATAGTATTTATTGAGACGAATTTAAAATGATCTCACATAAATATATTTTTCCTTACATATTATTTACAAAAGACGGTCAAAGAAGGGATGGTGAATAGTGTAAAAGTCAAAGCGGGTCAAATAAAATATAACGGAGGAAGTATGTAACAAGACATATAGTGATGGTTAACAAATTAATGTACACTTTTGTGTTTTAACTCCACATCACGGGTTTAAAATTTGTACAATTTATGTTTTGTATAATATTGACCTTTTGAATTGGATGATTTTTTTGGTTCCATGCTTTATACGTATATAGAGTAGTATTTAATTTTTTTGTATAAATAAACACTCTATATGGGTGTAATATATTCTGTAAGAACTAAATCAGATACTCATACTTGCGAAAGGCTTGAGTTCGTTCCATCTCATTGCTGAGGATATTCTAGATTTATGCTCTAATTTTATTGATGTTGTTTGGTATTTTGTTAAAAGGAGTGGAAATAGAGTAGCACATAAATTGACTCATTTCCAACCGTGAAAATTCGGTTAAAGAGTGTGGAATAATAATTTCCCGACTCGAATCTTGGATGTAGCGAACAATAATTTATTAATCTAAGTCCCTTTTGAGGGTTGTTTCAAAAAAAATAAAAATTATACTCATACTTCCATATAGATGGCCAAGATGGGTATTTTTGCTTTCAAAGCCTGTTTCACAGTAGATACATTAGTATATTAAGCACATAATAATTCGAACATTCTATAGCGGTAAAACAGTAGTACCAAGCAATAGGTTAAGGTTTTTTTTTTTTTTTTTTCGGGTGAAAATATGTTAGGCTAACGACTCTTTGGAATTCTTAGTGGTACAATGATACAATATTAAGACTGAAAATGAAATAAAATTAACTACAAAGTAATTTATTTATGAAAAAACAGATAATTAAACACAATGTACACCGGTCACCGGGTACAAGTCAAACAACGTGGTGCAATACTGCTATCTATAGCCCAGTGTCCGCTAACAAACTAAACAGTTACATTTTAATGGGCTTAAATGGGGCCTCTTTGTGGGCTCCAATGGGGCATAGAAGGGCTGAAATGGGCCGAAACTACTCTAGAGTCTAGTAACTCCACAATGGGCTTGACATTCACACACCTAGGTGCTTTGTACTGGTTAATTGATGCTCCTCTTGATATTGCATAGTCCATCAACTCCTCAAATGTTCCATTTTTTACCACTCGGATCTCAAGCGGCCCAATTGACCGGTCCGAAACCCGACATTGTCGGTAAACCGAGTTAAGGGCCTCCTCAATGGCTAAACAACACTGGCCCAATACCTCATGATCCGGCCCATTTGTGGGATCTTTTGTTAAAAGCTCCCAATAAAGGACATAATGTCCTGGTATAGATTTGGTGTCCGCATAACTTGTGTACTCAACAACGCTTGTGTTGAAGGGTTTGAGTAAAGCTGATGCGCTTTCAATCGCGCTTTGCAACTCTGACTCATCGGTCTTATCTGAGTCGATACTAAGTAGAACGTTCTTCCTCCTAACAAACTTGAATTGCGGGGCTGAGTTGTAGAACCCTGTCACGTATAGCACATCCCCAACTTGGTACCTATACATAAGGCAGAAATAGAAAACTGATTAGAACTGTGCAAAAACAAATACATAATAGTAAAATTACTATTTAATATATTTATATTAACTAATTAACCAAGAGTATTAATTCAAGTTCAAGTACCTGTACAATCCTGATTGTGTGGTTACTACAAGCTCATACTCCTTGCCAACCTCCACATCAGCCAAGTTTACAATCTGAGAGCCCGAGTTGTCGTCGAGTGGGATGAACTCGAAATACGCCATATTAGGTAGTATAGTGTAGGAAACCTCTGAGGGGGCACACATTGGGTTCAAGTTGAGTCCAAAGAAACACTCCGAAGAAGCGTACATAGTACATGCCTTAGGTAGGCCACCACTATAATAATCCAACGTAGGTATATATTGGGCCATGGCACCCGTCACAATCACTTCCAAGTACTTTGTATTAGGCCAAATTCTTTTGATTATCCCCTCCCAATTCTCACCCTCACATGCATGGATAATGAACTCCGCAAGTTCCGGGTCAGGCCTCATGATCTTACTCATACAAGCCCTTAGGCTCGAGTTAGTGATTATTGAGCTAAGGGTTCCATTGGTGATGTCGTGGCAGAGGTCGTGGAAATGGACTTGGAGGAAACGGATGGCCCGGAGAAGGCCGGATGCGAATACTGCTCCCACACGGAGTACCTCGTGGCGCTCGTATAGCCCACATAACATTTGCGTGTACATGGACTGGAAGGAGTCGGGGCAAAGTATTGCCTCGTTAGGACTAGTATAAAGGTTGTAAGGATCGTAAGGTCGGTTCTTGAAGTGGCTACTTTTGTAGTAGCTTGTGAGAACTGGGCGAGCCACTAGACCTCCAGGAGTTTTTGTTTCTGACTTGATGAATAAGAAGTAGAGGCCTTTTCCTTTGTCTAGCCCTGGCATGTATCTGTTGATACAAATTAATCAAACATTTATGGTCAGAGTTGCAATTAATTTTGCATGTTTTTTTAAAATATGAAAGGCTTAATGAATGAATATTAATTCTTAATACAATAGTTAGCTAGCTAATGCAAAAATATAAACCAAATACAGCAAATGGTCAGATCGAGTATAAACTAGCGCGTTAGCTACTAGATGAAAAATAGGGACATAATATAAATTATAAATTTGTGTGTAATTTTATTGGACATATCATGTCCTACCTAACTATGTGTATATACCAAAAGTATACAATAAGGAAAAACGAAAGCAAACAACAAAGAAAAAAGCACAATGCTAAGTATGGTGCAGTGTAAGAGAGCATTTTATTTGTAAAATTCAGTAGTCTTTTTCTGTAAAACACAAGTTAAAAAGAGTATAAAGAACAAATTAAAGGATATAAATATATAATTTTGGCTAATTTCAAAAGCCTGTATTTCAATGCATTATATTTAACTAGTAAATTTCTATTAGTAGTACATGTATGATTTCATAATTAAGTTGTATAACCAAAATTTAATTGAATGAACAAATATAATTAGTCCAAAGTTGAATAGTGGAGGAAATTAGATAAACTTACTGGTTCATAACAGGCATGAGAAGGCTGTAGAGCAGTTGCCTTCTGTTGATAAGTATATTAGGTGACTCGTACTTCGTAGCTTTGTCCGCCCGATCGGGCGGACATTGCCCGGTCTGACCGGGCGGAAGAAGAAGAGGTGCCTGGCAAATTCGTTGAAGAAGCTGCTCTCGCGCCCGACCGGGCGAGCCTTCGCCCGACCGGGCGAGCCTTCGCCCGATCGGGCAGACCTTGCCCGGTCTGACCGGGCGGTGGGGGTTAGATACGTTGAAGCATTCGTATGGAGTTTTCTTCTCGCGCCCGATCGGGCAGACCTTGCCCGGTCTGACCGGGCGGAGAAGGAAAAATACGGAACGCGGATTTTGCGGTTTTAGGTTATCTTATTTTATTATCTTTTTGCCCAAGTATCTTTTAATTAGGGATTAATATAAAACCTCCCTAATATCAGTATTAGGGTTAAGAGAGACAGAGTGAAAGCCGTTCTTGAGAAATACAAGAATCATCTTTGTAATCTTTGCAGTTTATAGTGAAATCATTCGATCTCGGTGCCCGTGGACGTAGCTATCACATCGATAGTGAACCACGTAAATTCTTGGTGTTGTTCTTATTGTTTGCATTGAATTTCTTTATTGTTTTCTTGTTTGTTTTCGACCTTTGCTTCCGCTGTCGCACAACAATTGGTATCAAGAGCTCAGGTTCAATCCTTGGAGAGTTTCTTGAAGATAACAATGGCAGGAGATTCAACAATAAGAATTGAGAAGTTTACCGGGAAAAATAGTTTCGGGCTATGGCAAATTAAGATGAAGGCTCTGTTAAAACAACAGCAGATATGGCGTCCGTTGGCTCCAAAGAGTACTACTTCGGAGTCAGGAGACGGACCGACTGACTCGCAGTTAGAAGTTATGGAAGAGAAGGCACACTCTACCATATTACTTAGTCTTGATGATCAAATCATCACGGAGGTTGCTGATCAGGAAACGGCGGCTGGATTGTGGCTGAAGCTGGAGTCATTGTATATGACTAAGTCGTTGACCAACAAATTATTACTGAAACAGCGGTTGTTTAGCCTCCGGATGCAGTCAGGTACTTCCTTACGGGAACATCTAGAAAAACTTAACTCTATTTTGCTTGATTTACGTAATTTAGATGTTAAAATTGATGATGAGGATGCTGCGTTGATTTTACTTGTATCTCTACCGTCTAGCTTTGAGAATTTTGTAGAGTCTTTTGTTGTTGGTAAGGATTCTATAACCTTAGAAGAAGTGAAGGCAGCACTTCATACTAGGGAACTCAGAATGAAAGCTACGAGTGATAATGGGGATAATGGTAGTGGGTTATTTGTTAAGTCCGGAAAGTCTAAAAAGAATAAGGGGTTTAACAAGGGGAACAATGCTGGGTCGGGTGCTGGAAACGGCAAGGATGGATCTAGTAAAACTACTACTAAAACATGTTATTACTGTAAAGAACCGGGTCACTTTAGGAATAATTGTCCGGTGAGGAAAAACAAGTCCCAGGCTGCTGTAGTTGAAGAGAAACCGAATGAGAGCTATAATTCAGAGGAAGATTTAGCATTAGTCAGTTCTGCTAGGTCTGATGATTTATCTGATAACTGGGTTCTAGATTCGGGGTGTTCGTTCCATATGTGTCCACGTCGAGATTGGTTTGATACATATGAACCTCGCAATGGGGGTATGGTTATAGTCGGTAACAATGCTCCATGTAAGGTCACAGGTATTGGTTCCATGAGGTTGAGGACTGTTGATGGGCGGAGGTTAACTTTGACTAATGTACGGCATGTTCCTGCTTTAGGAAAGAATCTGATTTCATTGGGTACCCTGGATGAATTGGGGTACAATGGTGTGTTTTCAGATGGGGAGTTGTGTATTTTCAGAGGTTCTGAGTTGGTACTTAAGGGTATCAAAAGGAACACCCTCTATGTTTTTGAGGGTGTTACACTGCCTAGTTCTGCGGTTTGCGCATCTGTATCTCACCAGGAGATGACTAAGATTTGGCACATGAGGCTTGGTCATATGGGGGAGAAGGGGATGCAGCTATTGTCCAAGAGGGGTCTTCTATCCGGGGTCAAGGTTGCCAACCTTGAATTTTGTGAGCATTGTGTGTTTGGTAAGAAACACAGGTCAAAGTTCAGCAAGGGTGCTCACATTACTGATGCAGTGCTCGATTACATCCATTCAGATTGCTGGGGTCCATCTAGAGTTGAAGGTATGGGAGGTTACCACTATTTTGTGTCATTTGTTGATGACAAGTCCCGATACACATGGCTTAGGTTGCTTAAGTCAAAGGATGAGGCCTTCAAAGTTTTCAAGCAATGGAAAGCTTTGGTGGAAAATCGACAAGGAAGGAAGATTAAGAAGCTACGAACGGACAATGGGCTAGAGTTTTGCAAAGACGAGTTTAATCAGTTCTGTGCAGATGAGGGTATAGGTCGGCATCATACTGTCAGGAAGACACCACAGCAGAACGGTGTAGCAGAACGGGTTAATCAGACACTGCTAGAGAGAGTTCGATGCATGCTCTCTAATGCAGGGCTTGGGAGGAGGTACTGGAGTGAAGCTGTGTTAACAGCTTGTTATGTCATTAATAGGGGTCCTCATTCTGGAATTGATTCCAAAATTCCGTTTGAGATCTGGAGTGGTAAGTTGCCTAATTTTTCGAATTTGAAGATTTTTGGTTGTGTTGCTTATTATCATGTTATTGAGGGTAAGCTGGATCCACGAGCCAAGAAGGGGTGTTTTGTTGGGTACGGGGATGGTGTGAAGGGGTTTAGAATTTTTTCACCTTCGGAGGGTCGGGTCATTCTTAGTAGGGATGTTACTTTCGATGAAAACACCATGTATTCAATTAAAAATGCAGAGATTTCAGATTTGAGAAGGGAAGGAGACAATTTATTACAGACAGATGGGGTACTTGAGGTACATCAGTCTACCATTGCTGATTTACCTCGGGTACAATATATTGATGATGATGCTGATGTTCCAGTGCCGGGTACTCCTGAACCTGAGATTACTCCTACTCATTCTAACTCTGGGGATGAGGTGGAGCAATCTAATCAGGGGTCATCTAGTCAACCTGACACCATTCTTGAGATGCCTAAACGAGTTATCAAGAAGCCTGTTAGATTGATTGAAGAGATGGAGGGAAGAAATTGCTGTGTTGATGCGATGACAGGTTATGCATTGAGTGTAGCTGATGATGTAGAGTCATTTGAACCTGCCACATATAAACAAGCAATTAGTTGTAGTGAGTCTGCGCAATGGCTTGCCGCAATGGGTGAAGAGATGCAGTCTCTTTACAAGAACAGAGTGTGGGAACTGGTAAAGGTACCGGAAGGGAGGAAGCTTGTGGGTTGTAAATGGATTTACAAGAAGAAAGAAGGGTTGTCGGAAACTGAGCAAATACGTTTTAAGGCTAGGCTAGTTGCTAAGGGGTTCAGTCAGGTAGAAGGGGTTGATTTTGTTGAGATATTCTCACCTGTGGTTCGACATACTTCTATCCGTGTGTTATTGTCAATTGTAGCACATTTTGATCTTGAGCTGGAGCAGTTGGATGTTAAAACGGCTTTCCTTCATGGCGATTTGGAGGAGGAGATTCTGATGAAGCAGCCCGAAGGATTCGAAGTTCCTGGAAAGGAACACTATGCCTGCAGATTGCTAAAGTCATTGTATGGACTTAAGCAATCCCCCCGACAGTGGTACAAAAGGTTTGATTCTTTTATGGTTTCACAAGGTTTTGACAGGAATTCATATGATTGCTGTGTGTATCATAGTAAGCTGGATAATGGTTCCATGATTTATCTTTTGTTATATGTTGATGACATGTTGGTTGCCACAAAGAATAAATCTGATATTGCTAGATTAAAGGAGATGCTTAACTCGGAGTTTGACATGAAAGACTTGGGTGCAGCTAGGAAGATTTTGGGTATGGAGATCTACAGGGATCGGGCTAGAGGTAAGCTTTTCTTGACTCAGAAAAGCTACATTGAAAAGATTTTGTCTCGTTTTGGGATGGAAAAATCGAAGCCTATAAGTACGCCAACTACTGTTAGTTGTAAGTTGTCTTTGTCTATGTCACCTCAATCAGAGGAGGAGTTGTCTTATATGTCTAGAGTTCCATATGCAAACGCGGTTGGTTGTTTGATGTATGCTATGGTCTGTACTAGGCCGGATATTGCGCATGCTGTTAGTGTTGTAAGCAGGTTTATGGCTCGACCTGGGAGGGAACACTGGCAAGGGGTGAAAAGGATTTTTCGCTACCTGAGAGGGACAACTGATATTGGTCTTGTGTACGGGAATGATAAGGAATGCTTGGTCACTGGGTACAGTGATTCTGATTATGCAGCTGATGTGGATACCAGGAGGTCTGTGACTGGTTATGTGTTCACTTTGGGTGGTTCTGTGGTTAGTTGGAAGTCTACATTGCAGTCATCAGTTACGTTGTCAACTACTGAAGCTGAGTATATGGCTCTAACTTCTGCAGCTAAGGAGTCTATTTGGCTCAAAGGCCTAGTAGGTGAACTGGGTATTGCACAGGATTTTGCTACAGTGTATTGTGATAGTCTAAGTGCGATTTGCTTAGCTAAAGATCAAGTACACCATGATCGGACGAAGCACATTGATGTCAGGTATCATTTCTTACGTACTGACAAGAGGATTAAGGTGAAGAAGATTGGGACTGCTGACAACCCGGCTGATTTCTTCACTAAGCCTGTTCCGTTTAGCAAGTTTAAACATTGCTTAGACTTGTTAAATATTGATTACTACGTGATGTAGTAGGCCCTGAGGGGCGAAGTTGGGGAGCTCCTGGTGTAGGTGTGTTGGCCTTAAGGTGGAGCTTGCCCGGGGCTTGTGATGCAGGTGGAGCATTATGAGTTGTTATACTTGGAGACGAGTATGTGATGGGTCTTGGTTGAAGACTTATCGGGATGTATGGCTTATGCATGAGTCCTGCATCGGGTTTGGCTTGAGATGTTTTTTCACTATGTCTTGATGGGGTCGTTTGCTGACTACGAGTTCTCGTCAAGGTGGAGATTGTTGATAAGTATATTAGGTGACTCGTACTTCGTAGCTTTGTCCGCCCGATCGGGCGGACATTGCCCGGTCTGACCGGGCGGAAGAAGAAGAGGTGCCTGGCAAATTCGTTGAAGAAGCTGCTCTCGCGCCCGACCGGGCGAGCCTTCGCCCGACCGGGCGAGCCTTCGCCCGATCGGGCAGACCTTGCCCGGTCTGACCGGGCGGTGGGGGTTAGATACGTTGAAGCATTCGTATGGAGTTTTCTTCTCGCGCCCGATCGGGCAGACCTTGCCCGGTCTGACCGGGCGGAGAAGGAAAAATACGGAACGCGGATTTTGCGGTTTTAGGTTATCTTATTTTATTATCTTTTTGCCCAAGTATCTTTTAATTAGGGATTAATATAAAACCTCCCTAATATCAGTATTAGGGTTAAGAGAGACAGAGTGAAAGCCGTTCTTGAGAAATACAAGAATCATCTTTGTAATCTTTGCAGTTTATAGTGAAATCATTCGATCTCGGTGCCCGTGGACGTAGCTATCACATCGATAGTGAACCACGTAAATTCTTGGTGTTGTTCTTATTGTTTGCATTGAATTTCTTTATTGTTTTCTTGTTTGTTTTCGACCTTTGCTTCCGCTGTCGCACAACACCTTCTATCCATCTCCTCAGCAGTTGTTGGCATCATTTTTCTCTCTCCTGCTGAAGTTCCAGAGCTGCAATAATCGCCCAATTAATCTCTAATTACTAATTATTTGCATAATTAAACATTAACTTCTTTGTAATTATATTAATAAACTTTTCTTTTTTTTTTCTCTCTCCCACTCTCTCTCTCTCTCTCTCGTAGGTTATTTCAATTAAGTTAGTCAATTTCGACCAGAATCTATCTATCCTTAATTATTGACTACGTTCAATAAAAGAATTGAAAGTCAAATCACCACATTTTTTGACTCTACATTACATTAATGAGTGTTAATAATATATACTCTCCTGTATATATAAGGTACTCAAAATTAAATTTATCTTTTTTTTTTGTTAGCGAACTGTTATTAGGCAATCATTTTATAAAATAATAAGTGTAAAATAAACATAATCTTTATAACAACATAACATTATTATCGCCACAAACTTGCTATACTAGCAGTAAAAATTTGCGAATAAAACATACTTGGTATTATTAAATTAAATCAGTTAAAGGATGTTACCTTGTAAGAAATTCAGTGATTGGTTGGACACAAAGAATAGGGGAAAAATCCCCGTTAGCAATACGTTGGATATCGGGCTGAATATCCTCGTACGACACCACTGGAACCTTGTTCTTAAATGTCTCAACATCAACACACCCCTTCATTCCATATCGATTCAAGTACTCGGTGTCGGCGTTTCGGCTCAATATCTGAGCCAAAACCTCCCTTTGAACCTCCTCACATTGGCTCGTCACCTCCTCGATGAACTGCAACGCAGCCAAATCTTTCTCTCTTCTCGCCATTGCTTATCGTCGTAAAAATAATGTTGCAAGATAAAAGATATTTAATGCAATAATAATATTGCAGAAAGCTTAGTATTTTTTTTTTTTTTTGCGCTAAGTAAATTGGGAAGCTCTAGTGAAGTAGTGAATATTGCTTGAAGTGAGTATGGGAGAATGAAAAGAGCGAAGGAGTTTATATAGGGCAAAAAAAGCTATAACGTAGGATAAAGACGTCATGGTACACGTAAAAAGTTGCCACAAGGAAGAGGGACAAGTAAACTCGTTACTTGTGAATTGTGGCTCTTGACTAAAATACGTATGTACTAATTCCATTTTTAATTACAGTGACATGCATTTTTAATTTTTTTGATTGGTTGATATAGAGTTATAATCAATTAATCATAATAAACCCAAATGATGTGATATTGATTGGATATATTTTTTTTTTTGCATGTTTAAATCATTTTTTGTAAAGCTATTCTAGCCGTCCTTGAAATAAAATAACTCCGTACTAGCAAAATTATTAAATAAAACTGTAATTATAGATTTTGAGTATTTTTTTATATTCCAATATTTGTCATTTTTGTGTGTTATTGTCTTTTGGACAACTTAACTAGTATATGGGCTTGTTTGTAAATGATATTATTTTTCTGACTTTTAATATGTCATGGAACTTAAGAAAAGTTGATTTTGGCTTTAATAGTATGAGCATTGACTAATGTTATAATGTTCACTATACATCTTAGAAATTCCATCGTGTAAAATTTCAAAGTGTTACTAATTTACAGCATCAACAAAAACTATTACGTTTGAAATTTAACAACCAAAAGCTCACTATCCAATGCTTAAATTTTTTTTCTTTGACTAAATTTATATAGATCCAAAACCTAATTATCTGACGTTTAATAGTATTATTTGTGTAGCATGCATGATTAAGAAATTGTTAATTGTCTAGATAAGAATCTTCTATAAATTCCAAAATTCAAATCCTTGACCTTGTGCATTGAGTGTACTACTAAAATTTACAACACTTTTGTTTTTTTTCGATATCCGTGATAATATTCTCGAAGAGATCATGAATATCTTTGTTTCTCCATATTATTTTATGCAAAGATTGTAGGGCTAAGAGGGGGACATAAGGGCCCACTAGGTATAAGGTTAAGGGGACATGTGGGACCGTTGAAGGGGTCAAGTCAGTTGATTTTGTCGGGCATACGAGTTGAACGGACCACGAAGCTTTCAAAGGATAAGAGTTGGGAAACCTCAGAAGAGGCTGCTGACCAACGACAACGATAGCCTGCCGGCGGAAACGGCACAAAAGACAGGCATTGTATTGGTACCATTTTGCTACGTTGAGCTCATGTGTATTTTGTACATTACAACCCTTTATTTTGAGTTGTGACTTTTCTATTCTTACGCAAGGACGTTCGCTATTTTGAGTAATTATACTAGGAAGTTTATCCATTCGTAATTTTATTGTTACATAATTAATTGAAATGTATGTACTACAAGGATTTTTGAAGAATAAATTATATTGAAATGTGTGAATTGGCCTAACAAATTCGTCATCTTCGATTTACAGATTATATGTTTGATCTTATTCGACGCATATGTATTCAATTATAAAATTTTTAACCGATCATGTTTTATTATTATTTCACGTTGAATGTCATTACTTAGAAGTTCATAATATTATTTAAGACATAAAGTAACGCTTATCAATAATAGCACTGAAGTAATAACAACAATTCAACTAAACTTATTTCAGTAAAATTTAGATTATTGATTCAACTTATTTCAGTAAAATCGAATATCGTCTATATCCTTGTTGATCCGCATGTCAATGGGTAGAATACTTGGTTGTATCACTTGTATGTAGATCTACATACGAGTGGGTAAAATGCATGAAAATGTATTGTACTTTTATCATGTTATAATATTTTTTTTATTAGGTGATATTCGTATGTGCTTTTATAAAACCTATTGCATATTTGCATGTAGAACTATAGGTAATAATTAAGCAGGTGTATGATCTAATTTGCGCCAAGGCGACTCTCATACCAAACAAAAAGACACGTAAATTATTTCTACTTTTTTTGTGAGTGACTGTGAGATAAGGCAAAGCAAAGTTGCATGTAATTGCATGTAGCAGAATAAAAACTTTAATTTCTGAAAGACCGTTCAGAATGTTTAAACGTGTTATACTGTTGATATTAGAGCCATGCAAGATTAAAAACATTGAACCTGAAAATGAAAACCGACTGATCGAAATCATACATTTAAACTGTCAACACAAAGTGACCATTTTTGTTAGTGGATAGCTTTATTTGTTTTTACATCCCATACTTTCAACCAACATCTTCATCATTTATTAAAGTAGTGTTTGCCTTTAAATGTCCAGTCTAGGTTTTTTTGTTACCCTGGTCTGCATGTGTTAGGTTGTTGCAGTAGTAGTTTACTTACTTACTACAGTAATTACTATGACATGAATGAATTTTAAACTTAAATTGACTTGAATTCATAATGTAGCAAATTCGTAGGTTTTTTTTTTTTTTTAGTAAACCTATGTTTTGATTGATTACACTCAATGTGGAGATCTGAAGAATTTATTGAGGTTCATTGAGGAGAATATTTTTGTTTAATATTTCTATTGTAAATATGATATGACTTCCAATAATGGATTAAGTCTTTCAATAAAAGGTTAAGGGTTAGCGTATGGTATAATCTCATATTCTCATATTCTCATCGCTGCAACCCAATATACTTGATTAGCAACTGGCAAGTGGTCATTTATCCATATAATATTTAATTGTAAGATGTAAGTTACAATCAAGGTCAAAAGCGACGATGTTTGACTAATGCTACAACAACATTTACCACTCCCCTTACACGCATTATTGCCGAACATGTGTATGTGGGTTAATAGTATTTTGACATTGTCTAAACATTAAAAAATCGATAGTGTAAAAGCTATTGGCTTACTGCCAAACATGTATGTGACACCTTGTATCTCTTAATCTCTGTCACTAAAATAAATCCTCATAATCACTAAACAAAAAAACAATGCCTCAATTATTTTCCATTAAGTTCTTTTGTAAGTTATGCGAAGTACTTCGTATTTGGCTTTGATCAATCCACAAATTCACCAGAGATTGATTGTTTCTTGCAAGTAACAACTTTCAATGACTAAGTCCTTTGTTGACTGGCATGCAGCATGAAACATGCTATCATCATGTTTTTTTGGTTGTAAAAAGTCCGTGTTTCGACATTTTCGTATCACGTAAATGGACTGTTTATCTAACTATTCTAACCTACACAAGTTTACCAAATTCTTAGAATTATTATCGTGGTCTATGTTTAGTGCTAGCATTTTTCAAAAGATTCTTTCAATATAACTACTCAATGTAGCATTTGAATTGTATAAAGTAGTAGTGTCCAAAGACTACAAGGCATATACATAGACGATATATAAAAATTGAACAATAATGTATAGCTATATACGTAGTTGTTTCGGGGTATTTTGATGTGTCCTGCGGGAGAGTTACAATTCCAAGAATGCCCTTCGACGCCTGTGCCTGCAAAATCACGAAGACTCCTGGGGGTAGGAGCTCCGCCTCCGACGATCAAGTTAGTAAAGATACGGGAGGTAGAATGCACGTAATGTAGAAGTTACTTCTCGCGTAATGGGAGAATTCTGCAATTAATATTGCTCCGGGTAAGTGTTTTTCTTTTTGAGGAGTATTCAATGTGAACCACAAATGTTCCAGCCCTCCATTAATGAGGGTCCTTCCACTATTTATAGTGGGGAAGGGATGGTTTCTCTTTTAGGGTTTAGAGGACACGTGTCAGCAGAGGATTGGAGCCCTGCTGACCAACGGCTGGATGCCACGTGTCACTAGGCCATTGGGCCACGTGTTTAGGGTATTTTTACCCCAAACATTTGCCCCTCACTGGTGCTGACGTGGCAGGGTGCCACGTGGCGCCGGTGAAAGGTTTTTTTTTTTTTTTTTTTTTTTTTTTTTTTTTTTACAACTCTTCAGATTCTTTTTGAAGGATGGAAAAGCAGTTGGCGAAGAGTCACGACTTTTCACCTTCTGGGACAAATTCTATAAATAGGAGAAGATGTCCCCCGAGCTCTCATTTACAAACTTTGCCAAATTTCTGAAAATTTGAGAGCAGCCGGCAATTTGAGAGTTGAGAGCATTCGGAGTTGAGAGTCGTTGAGAGCAACCGGTCTACAGACCGTCTGGGTCGTTGCAAGCTAGCCAAAGGTTTTCGAGAGGGTAATCAGAGAAACCCAGCCGGATTTTGAACCGCCTGCGTCTTCGCAAGCATCCCAAAGAATTTCCAGATTTTCTTCTAGGTACCGTCTCTATTCTTTCTAACTTTTTCATGTATTTCCGTTTGAGTCTTTTACTCGCATTTTTGTTCATTGGTCCCATAAGTAGATGGACCCCTTATACCCATACCCGGAACCTAGCTGTGAACTCAGCCGGTTTATTAGTACGGCTGAGTCTAGAACTGGGTTTGTCGCCTCTGTTCTTTGGGACAACCCTTTTTCAACACCCATATCGACCGACTCTGTGTCTGTGCAGGACACAATGGCCAGAATCCGGTCTACTGTCAGAGATCCCAACTACAGAAGTGGGAGCTCAGATGAGCAGCCGCCTGAGGTCCCAGCTTCAGGCGGTGAAGTAGAGCAAGGAGAGGTAGAGCAGAGAGGCTCACCCGGGGGCGCTCCTAGCACCCCGGGTGATAGCATTTTAAACGAAGAGACTGCTCCCCTCCAGGAGACCAGAGAGCAGGTAGGCTCTGATAAGGAGGTCTCCAACTCCCCAGCCGGCTCTGATGCCGGTCACGTTCAAAGTAGCAGTAGCAGCTAATTAACCGAATCTGAGGATAGCGAGGAGGCGGAGAGGCCTTCTTGGGATAATAGGAACGATCCTCTCATGATCGCCGTCTCCTCTAAGGACCGCGAGCTCATGCGGGCTGCGCTGCCAGATTTTATCAAACGGCGGCCG